GACCTGGCCCAGCCTGGGAGCGCCGTCAGATTTCTCTTCCTGCGGAGCGCCGTGCGTGTGTGCCATGCGTGCGTCGTGTGGTGTTGCGCGTCGTGTGGTGTCGCGCGTCGTGTGTGCGGTCCTCGTACCGTACGAGAGCGTAGATGGCCGGGTTGAACTGGCGGAGGGTGAGCTGCTCGCCCAGGAAGGAGCCCTCGGAGCGTAGGATCTCCTCCAGCAAATGGAGCGCCCCGTCCCCTGTGGTGGGTGGGTGGGTTGGTGGGTTGGTGGGTGGGTTGGGCAGGAGAGGGCACGGAAACGGGCGGGAGGATGGTGATGGTGATGGTGATGGTGATGGTGATGGTGATGGTGATGGTGATGGTGATGGTGATGGTGATGGTGATGGTGATGGTGATGGTGATGGTGATGGTGATGGTGATGGTGATGGTGATGGTGATGGTGATGGTGATGGTGATGGTGATGGTGATGGTGATGGTGATGGTGATGGTGATGGTGATGGTGATGGTGATGGTGAAGAGGAGGCCGACGACGACGACCGCCGCCACCAGCAGCGGCGAGGTGCGCGGAGAGGAGGTGCACCTGGGTCGCTGCTGGATGGGGCGCCAGCTTTGGATGCGGGTCCGCGCGCGAGGGCGCGGTGGACCACGTCCTGCCACGAGGCACCCTCCGCCCTGCCGCCGCCGCCACCGGTGGTGATGGTGGTGGGCGGCGACGCTTCAGTGCCGCTCGCCCGTAGCTGGCCGTGCGCCTCCTTCTCCTTCTGGTGGGCAGGGTCGAGGGATCGGAGCGAGGCCAGGTAGCGGAGCAGCATGCTGTGTTCCTGCTCGAACAGACTTGACCTCGAATAGCACTACACCAGCCACCACCAGCCACCACGGACGGATGGATGGAATGGATGGAGGTGCCACCCCGCCGCCGCCCATCGCGTAAGTGGTGCGCAGCGGCGGGGAGGGGACATGAAGCAAATATGTGCGGAAAGAGAGAGAGAGAATGTGTATATGGGTGGAGGGGGTATATATATACATATATATTATGTATATAGATGGGTGGGTGAGTGGTGTGGGGTACCTGGAGGATGGTGGTGAGGGTGTTCAAGTCGGGCGGGGCGCGCATGAGCCTCTGGAGCTCGTGGGCTGCCTCGAGGCACGTGCGCAGGTCGCCCTTGACTGCGCTGGCGCTGATGAGTCCCCGCTGTACGTCCCTGCCCAACCACAGCCCCCCCCCAAACCGGAACCAGCGCCACGCCCCGCGGGGAAGGGGGGTTCAGCACGGCGTAGATTAAGGGGGGGAGGGGAGGTGGGCGGGCGGCTAGACGGGCTGTGGAGTGCGGGAGGAGGAAGGAGGAAGGAGGAGGTACTGGGCGTGGGGAGGCGAGGCCAGGTGCGGATGAG